GTACGAGGGCAGCCCCGCCTGCGGCAGCAGGCTCTGACACTGCAGAGGCAACTGGGAAGAGCCCGACCGCCAGGAGAAACGGGAGGTGGGTTGCAACCCAAAAAACCCCCAAACCATCAGGCAGCTGCAAGGCACGGCGGGGACGTTCCTCAGGGGCCAGGCCAAATCCTTCTGGGGTGACCCCCCCATTCCGCCTGCGCCTGATGCACGGCTTTGGTGCCGTCATTTGCTAACGCAGACACAGCCACCGAGATTCAGTCTGAGAGGCTGAAATGTTCTTGTCATGTTGTAGGCAAAGACTGAGTGACCAAATCCAGATGATGCCTTGAAGCAGCAGATCTTCAAGTGCCAGCCGGTGTTCTTTATAAAGAAAAGCAACCAAAACCAAACTGGCAGTTATCTGAAGCTGATTAAATACAGAAAAACCGCTATTTTTCGCTGATCACCTTCTTGGTTTCCACTGCTATGCCCACTCCTCTACCCTGGCACATGCCTGGGATGGGGTTTTCGCCCACCCTTACACCCACTGTGCTGCCAGGACAGCACATCCCTTCCCGCCACCAACCTCCATAGGAGCCACTGCACTGGGCTCAAGACCTCCCAGCTCGGCAGCCAACTGGGTAAAACAAAGGCTTTGTAATCCAAACCGCCCATTTTCCTATCCAAGGCGGTTGGTAAGGTAGTCATGGGGCGCTGCTTAGCCCAGCTCATGCTTTTGGTTTTACCTTTTACGTTCTATCTGGTCTCAAACGAGCTTTGCTTTGCTTCAAATTAACTTGGAGTAGACGCTTTACCCTCACCTGTGTGGCTGGGCACCTGGTCCCTGCTAAAGCTGCTCCCTGGGCTCCAGGGCCAGCCGAGATGGACGAGAACAACGTTCCCAACCTACCACGTTTCAGACGCTGGATGCAGTCAGGGCTGTTTGCGCTCCAGAAACGGGCAGCGTCAACATCAACGCTGCTGTGCAGAGCTCAGGGGAGGAGGGAATTTCAAATACATCGCTCGCATCAAAACTCCACAAGTTGGTACCAAAATTCAAGAAAAAAATTCATTTCCTTAACTTTTCCTAAGAAAATAAAGGGTTTTTTTAGTTCTCTATGATGACCAGAAAGAGAACTCATTCCCTGTGTGTCCCCTAATGATGCTGCAATTCAGACTGACACAAATTGCGATGTTTTAGGTTGGAATCCAGCAATCCTCCACCAAAGCAAGCACCTGAACACTGCGTGCATCTCCTCGCCCTCAGCCCCTCACTCTGCCTGCTCGGCATTACCCTGACGACGGGAAGTTTTTAATTAATAACTTGCTAAAACAGAAAACAGGGACAGCTGGGATAGAGCTGCAAAGGGCTCCAGCAGCTGGGATACCGAGTGGGAAGAGAGGAGAGGAGCTGTTTGCCGAGCACAAGGCTGTCCGGTGTCTGACGGCTCCAGCAGGACCCCAGAGACCAAAGGCTGCCTCCGGGGAGGAGCCAGAGGGGAGCAACCCCTCGGGATGCAGCGAGGAGGGCGCTGGGCCCTTGCTCTGCCCCAGCGCGGGGATCACGGGGCTGGGCTGAGCTGAGCTTCCCTCGAATCACACAAACGCTGCTCAGGCTCCGAGGGGCTGCAGCACTGCCCTGCTCTATGTGCATTTAAGCGAATAAATATTTGGCTTTGAAGAACCTCCGACGTCCCTGCAGTCGTTTGGTGTCAGAGCACAGAAACCCGGACCAGCCAGAGTGGGAACACGCGGCTCTGGTGAAGTCACCCCCAGCTCTGCCTGCGGGAGGGCCCGGTGGCAGGGGACGAGCACCACACGAAGTCGCAGTGCGGGTGCCAGGGGCGTTGCGGAGCTGGCACCACCAGGATCCTCTGCTCTCCCTCGGCGCTCATCCCCAGGGCGCGGGGTTTGGTGAGCCGTGGTGCCACCCGCGCTCGCTGCCCACCTGGGATTTCACATCACCTTTCCCACGTACTTTACATGCATTTCTGAACAACAGGATTACACTGTCCTAATATAGGAGCTGTAATTTGCCTAAAAGTAAACCCCACAAACTGGGAGCCCTGCGGATGCACAGGTACAGAAAACACCAGGGACTGTGAAACTGTCACTGTGTAGGAAAATGACAAATTTATTGAGATCTAAATATTCACTCTGAGGCTACAGCAGAATAAACGCTGTGACAGACAACGAGCACTAGGGTCTAACACTTTACACTGCTGCTAAACGCGCTCCGCTCTCACAGGCTCGCGTGTTCCAAAACATTTGATGTTCCTGAAGTAATCAATCAAGACTTCAGATGTCATTTTAATACAAATGTCACCAAAAAAATGTACAATCAAATGCATCACCTGTTGCCACCGCAAGGTAAAAATCATTTATTAACGTAACTATGGGAAATCTCTTTAAAAAACGTATTTGTTAAATAGTAAGATAAAACTTTAGCAGCATTTAAAAAATCTGAAAGTCCAAAGAAGATGGTAATCTTAAATCCCAAAACGCAGCAATCTGAGCTCCGTTGCCGGCGTTACGCGAGGAAAAGGAAGGGATTTGCTCTTCCTCTGCCCGGGGAACGGCGCGGCTGCGCGGCGCAGGGAGTCGGACAAACTCCTGCACAGGCGTCCAGAGGGCACGTTTCTCTCTCTGCATTCTCGCTCCAGTGCTGGTGGATTCCCCCTTCACAAAAACTGAGCTGAATTGTTAAAAGAAGGAAAGTTCCCGCGGCTGGGGCTGGCTCCTCCTCAGCTCGTCCATCTGCGAGGGCGCGAGCCGCTCCGGCGTCAGACGAAACCAGCGGGGCTCAGGCAGCGCAGACCTCGCCTGCACCGCTCACCCCTCGCGCCTCAGAAACAGCCCGAGTTGCTGCTCTTGCTTTTTAACCGAGAGAGGTTGTCAACCCGCGAGCTGGTTCCCAGCAACACCAGTGATGGGATGGAGCTGGGGGAGGCTCTAAAGACCACACAAGAATTCATCTGGGCCCAGCCCCTGAGCGAGTGTCAGGGCACCGGCCTTCCCTCAGCACCGAGCATCCCCTGCCAGCACAGCCCAGTCAAACACCACCCTCTGCCTGGACAGCCTTCTCAGCTCCTCACACCGAGAGGCTCGGGATCTACTGGAGGGACAGATCCAGAATAACCACAACACACCTGCACACCCCAGCTGCTAAACGAGCTCTGGATCTGCCCAGCGTCCTGCCCCATGGCGACTGCCCCTTGCAGCCCCACAACAGCCCCAAACCTCTCCCAGGTCGTGCTCCACCCAACACCAACCTCTCCTGGGGGGCGCGGTGGTTCCTGAATCCTGCTTTCTCTTTGCCATCAAAAAGCCAAAACGCCTCTGGTTTCCCGCCCCCCTGCTGCCACTGCCGTCCCTCACCCCTACCATCCTGTGCCACCTCCAGCGGCAAGGAGAGGCTGCGCTCGCCGCTGTCCTGCCTGGGGACGAGAGGCCCTCACCTCTCCAAGACTGCCACGTTCCTCAGGCTCCCAACGAGCCGCACAAATCACCTTTGTTTTACAGCCTGTAAGACGGTGCTAAAGCTGCGCGAGAGCAGCGCTCTCTCCTTTCCAGCTCTCGGGCTGTTTGAGAGCCGTGGCAAAAGAGAAGAGGAAAGGACGTTCATCTGGAAGAGCCGATCACCAGGAAACGAGCTGCTACCCAACTGGGCTGCGTGCTCCTCTCCAGACCTGCCAGGCCATGGACGCCCCCGCTGAGGCCAATCTGAGCCTCCCACCGCCCCCGGCAGCGGCAGAGGAGCCCCGCACGGTTTCCTTCCCAAGCGGCGCCGGTGTGCACCAACATCTGCTGCCGCAGAGGAGAGCAATGAGCTACTGACAAAGCACTCGGCAGCAACTCGAGTGTGAAAGGAGCCACACAAAATCAAATTCTGGTGTACAATTGAAAACCTGCTGTTCCTTTGCATGTTCTTAATAGTGCAAAATATTGTGTTTTTCTTTTCTGTTCCTGAAGCTGTAAATTCCACCCCCAGCTGCAGTCACAACTCTGCAGGATCTGCAGTTTGATTCGATTAAATAAATACCATGAGACTGTAAAGCCATCATGTACATCTTGTGATCAGAACAGGCCTTTCCCAAAATAACTCACGGTTGCTGAAGGAGCTCTTCAGGCCCCCTGAGAATTCAGGGCGAATCCTCTCTCGTGCCTTCAAATGTGTCAGAAAACAAAGAATCGATGGAGCGGGAGCTCACGCGAGGGCAGCGCACGCAGCGAGCGGCCAGACCGAGCAAGCAGCCCCAGGAAAACGAGCATCATCGGGCCCGTGCACAGGAGACTTTTGCAGGACAAACAGCAGTTGAGCTTTCCACCTTCTAGGAAAAGATGAAAAGATTAAACCTGAGGGAGTTTGGTTTGTTCCCAAAGAGCCATGGCTCCACCGTCCAGCACCGAGAGCAAGGCAGAAGGTGTGCAAGTGAGACACGAGCTCTGCTCTCCCCACCTCGCTGCACGGCCAAGGCGACACCGAGCTTCCTTGTCAAGCGTCTCTGAAAGCCGAGTGGCGACCTGGGCCATTCCTGCATTTGGGGCAACGCCATCGCAGCAGTGCTCTGAAATGTGATGGTCTCAGGTCAGGGGGAAAAGAAAACTGAGGGACCAAGGATGCTGAGACTCTTCTGCAGTTCTCCAGCCTCAGAAAGCAGCGCTGATCTGGGCCAGGACCTGGTGGGGTGCAGGGTTTGTGTCTTTTGCCCCTCCCCGGGATCCTCGCACCAGGAAAACCAAGCTCAGTGTCTTTTCTCCTGAGCCCAGGAGCAAGGGTCGGCTGCTCCTCACAAAGACACGCAGGGGGAAAGAAAGCAAGAGGAGGCCTCCTTTTCTCAAATTTGAACCTCAAATACAACCCCTGCGAGGGCAGGGAAGGAAAATAAAAAATTAGAAAGTGTGTTAGCAAATGCTCCCATGCAAAAGTCTAAACTTTATTCACTTTTATTTATATATTTAACAATTCTAAAGTATTTACTTCTCGCTTTGACAAAAATGAAAAATATAGGAGCACTTTACTCTCCTGAGGAGAGAAGGGTTATGTACACAGCTATGGAGAGATACTGGTTCCTCCTTTACATACAAAGAAAAATAATATTAATAAAAAAGTGCTTCGTCGATCCAAAAAAGACTAAGAGCTGCAAGCATTTATTCACACTGTACATCACAGACCCCAAAACCCGTATCGTAACCTCTTGGCACCTCAGGACCTCAGCCCTCCCTGTGCCTCTCTGCACCACAAGACCCCCCCACTCACTGCGCTGCCTCAGGAACAAACCCTCCGCACAGCTCAGCTGGGGAGCCCATCTTCTGCTTGGTTTGAGAAACGTTTCCAGACCCACACTGGGGAGATCCCGAGATGCTCCGTCACCAGACCCCCTCCCCGTAAAGCTGCTACGCTAAACCAGCATCCCATTCGCTTCTGGCTCGTGAATCTTCAGCAGTTAACGATCCATGCAAAGGGCATGGGAAGTTCAAAGTCAAAACTAAAATCCCTCGACGTTTCCCCATCAGACCGAACAAACACTCGGAGCTGGTTTCCTCTGTGCGACGCTCGCTCTGGATTCTGTGACTGTGATGTTCCAGGGAAGAGCAGCACTCCTTTCCCGAGCTTTCGTACGTTTTGAGCTTTTGTACCCAGAGCTCCCAGACAGCCCAGCAGGACTCTGGAGAACACCCTAAGAGGAGGTGGAACTGTGTCTAGGCCACACGCTGGGACGCGGGAGCTACAGCTCTTCCTTGGCAGACGGCACTAAGCAGCCCCTATCAAAAGGAAAAGGGGACGAGGACCTAACGCTCCTTTAAAAACACAGATTCAAGAGATTCACACTTTAATGAGGTGACTTTAAAAGCGACTCAGATTGGGGCAGAAGGGGAATCCAGGATGCACTTCAGGTCTCATGTCATCCTCAGGCAGGTTTTTCCTATCTGGAGTATACTGAATACAGACCAAAAAAGGAGGGGACGTGTCAGGAGTATTACAAGCACCAGTGCCCTCCCCACAGCCCGAGCCCAGCGAGACTCAGCGCACCGCAGCTGCTCTTCCAGGGGCTGGATTGTCTCATTCGAGTGCGAGCCTGCACAGCAGCGACAGCCGGCGACAAGTGCACTGCCCCGGAAGTCGCTGTGCGTTGAGCGAGCCATCCTACAGACGGGGCAAGGACAGAATTCAGAGCTCTTCTATTTTCCCACTCACTTTTAAATAATGAATTGCATTTACAGAACTTGAGAGAGGCGCCAGGGCAACCCCCCTGCGCCTTGGCAGCCCCTCCACCGCCCTCCCGCCTCTCGCAAACAAACGTGCGCTTCCCTCAGCCAGCGCCGTCCTGGTGTTTCCACTCTGAGCCACGGCGGCAGCACCGACGGCAGGGCCGTGCACCGATTGTGCGTGCAAGCACAGAGCTGCTGGGGTGCAAATCTGCAACCGGCCCCCCCTCCGTGCAGCGAGGGTAACTACGCCTGCTCTAAGAACAGAGAGGCAGAGCGCTCTCTTGGGAGAAAGAGATTCCCATTTCTTCTAGCAGCAACAGGTTCCCAAACAGCAGTTCCTTGTTTGGAAGTAACAGGAGTGATTGAAAGCGCTGACGCTACAGCTATCACACTGCGCACACCGGCTGCGCGATTCCCCGCTTCTCCTTTCCTGCACAACCTTGGCCATCTGCAACAGTTCAGTGGTGGGACAGTTCAACACGAGGGAAAGCTGGTTCTGGTGCCAGCTCCCTTCCCAATTCCACAATCTTCCGGCAAACAAACATATATATATATTATTATATATACACACACGCGCGCAGACACATACACACAGAGAGGACAGAAAGGAATGGGGCAATAGCTGGAAAAGGAGAATCCCGGGATCCAGCAGTACGTCCTCGAGGCCTGTCCTGCCGAGCGGTGTTCCACGCCCCAACCTCCAAAGTGCACGGCTCCCGCGTCCTCCCAGCCGCAGCCCCCCGGGAATCTGCGTGTCTGCTGGGGAAGGGCCGGCACGGCCGCTCCCCCGCTGCGCCGAGGCTGGGACTTTAATTTGACGTGGCAGTGATGGGTTTGTCCAGTTCGAGATCAAGGCTGGAGCTGCTGGGGTGCAAGCTGCTGTAGCACGATTTGCAGACTCTGCTGGGTTCAAAGAGCTGCTGGCTGGGAACGGGCACCTTCTGGTTACAGCAGCTGGAGCAGAACACATTTCCACAATTCCTTGCATCAGGAACAAGAAGAGGAGAGATGGAAAAGAAAGGATTAGAGGCAGTTTGACAAAGTTACCCGAGTTCTAAAATCAGGCTGTTCAGTGTCGTGATGGGGGCAGTCCTGGGGACCTGCTCCTACCCAAGTACCGAAGAGAAGACAACCCCTCCCACGCCTGCGCCCTGCGTCCCTCGCTTCTGAAGCTGAAGCAGAGCTCCAGGGAACAGACCAGAAAGGAGCACAAAGCAAACTGCAGGACAGAACTACAGCTCGTTAAACTTCTCCACAGCGAGGGCTCTTCCGTACAACGCTGTCATGTCTCAAACTGGGGGGAACTGCCCCTCTGTGAAACACCTCTGTGTCCTGCAGAGGAGCCTGGGCACGGTGCTACTCATCACCGTCACTGCTGCTCAGGGCACAGGGCTAAGGAAGAGGTGGAGGGGCCTTCCCCCGCCAGGATGTGGGGAACGTGGTGTTCTGGCCCTGGCTCACGTCGCTGACCCAGCTTTGTGCTGGAAAGACTGGACACCGCAGCCCTGAGAGGAGGCAGGAGCGCCCCTCCACTCTTCTGAAAGCCTGTGCTGCCGAGGACCAGCACAGAGACATTTTCTTCTCTTTCTTTCAAAGTGCACTGCTGGAAAGTTTAAGGATGGGACAGATGAAAAAAATTACAACCAGTTTTGGTTGATGAAATTCTTGCCAGCAGCGTGGCCCCTTCTGCAGCGGTCCCAGCAGTCCCACACTTCTGCATGAAGTAAACCGAGTCACCAAGGGTCATGCAAAGCCGCGAGCCGGGCAGCCAGGCATTGCATGCTCAGAAACAGCAGCGCTGCGGCAGGGTGAGCAGTCTCACAGGCGTTCCCGTCAGCTGGCAGCTGCTGGAGGCTCGCTGGCACATGCACCTCGTGGGAGGCAGGGTGGTATTTAAGTCTTGACAATAATCACCTTCTCGTCCT